AAGATCGCGTCTTGCTCAATTTGTTGCAATATCAATTCATCCGCTAAGAATGTGATTTCTTTACAGATGAAATGATGTTTTCCTACTTTTCAATCATCAGTGCAATGTTCATTTAAATATGTGAGTATGTACAGGTGAAAGATCTAGTCAAACGAAAATATGAGGCTATCAGAATGATGAATTGCAAAGTCTTCTGCTCTGATATAAACTTCCGCAATGCAGACTTTCATCGATTCATTGCAGTTGAGCCAAGGCGAGACTACTTGGTAATTTTCCTACTTTATTTTAGAGTAAGTCCTGGCATTCACCCACTTAAATGTTATGGCCAAGAAGGACCTCTTCCCTACATTGCAATGTAGACAAAATCATGGCTGCCACAAGAGATTCGCTTAGAAATGGGTTAATCTTATGTGTTGATGGGGGAAGGTTAACATCACATTAACAATCACAATCCCTGGGATATCTGCATTATTTATTTAGCAAATAAAATAGCAGTAGAGAGGTGCAATGGAATCTCACATATCTTGATGTATTGAGGGATTGGAAAGCTTATGAGGTTATTTGTGTAGCTAGTCAGTGGGAAATCATGAAATGCATGCGATTGTTTAAGCGTTCATACACCCTAATTCGTCGTTACAATGCCTTTTACTGATTTTGAAAATTGCACATGAACTAGGCAGATGAATCTTGAAGATATCTGCTTCCAAAAGCCGATTGCGCTCGATAGCGATGCTCTAGAACCCTAGCAGCGTTTGCAACCAAACAATGCTAGTTAATCCAAGGTTTGGAATACATGACTCTGGCGATTGACCTCTTGGTGTTAGAAGCACTCAGCTAAATGGCAACAGTTCTATGATCTTGACGATGCAGAATGCCATTCTGATGTCGCGTAAAGTAGTTCGTGAGTAAAGTACAAGAGGTATTATTTTTAACGTGCAGTAAATTCATTTCATTAATGTGTCTATAGGTTGGGAGGGTTATAGAAATTGCTGAGCAAATACAATGGCACATGCACGCCGAGTTATGCTGATCAGAGTTGTGTCGGTGGATTCCTCTTTCACTTGCTTGGATATCCCCAAACGAGCGCTCTATAGAGAAATACCCACTATGGTCGACAATGCATGCGTCCTCAAGCACGCACAACGAGGATTAATGTTCTTCTGTCGTTATGACACGTACCTTGCAAGTTTAAGTCGGGTGGTGGTGCAGTAGGTCGATTAAGGCGTCCAAAGCTTGTCCACCGCTTGCATCATTTCACCAACTTCATAGGTGGATGGAAGCATGACCAAAATGCATTCATCACAAAACCTTAACAGCACAGACATAGAAGATAATCTCCAATCTTTTATGCAATGTTCAGCTGCCAACTACCCTTAAAACATCAAGGCAGCTCTTCGAATGACGACTATAATTTCTAATCTCTTTTATATAAAAGTTATCGCTTTTTGCAAAGTAGCAAAAAGGATTTTTGAAATCACTACCCACTACTAAATAAATGGCAGAATTACTTCACTAAGGATAATTGCAAATTCGGCTTCCTTTTTATTCCACAGACATTGTTCTCAAACACGGCAATATACACCCACCTGCTCAAACCAGTTGTGACCATCCCTCAAATAGCCCTCTTTTCGGTTTTGCAGATTTATTTTGTGTTGTTGACATAAACAGGCGGTTTCGGCTTTGAAGAGAAATTGGTCTCTACCAGTGCTGCTGATCATTTTGTCCATGGTCCTGTGGGTTACATTTTCAATTCAGCGAATTTGTCTTCACGCTTATGATAGTGCAGTGAAATTGTATTTATCAAGACAATACACGGAACAAGCATACTACGTGCAAGAGGCGGAGAGGTTGTTAAATGTCCTTTATGCTCAAATGACAGAAGATGGTGTGGCAGCTGATAACACAGCTGTAATTTGTAAAAGCTCAAAATGTCTATAATTGTTCGAGATGTATGACATCGTACCATTGGAACTCATAGCTGAAGTCTCTCCCATTGGCCTACTACTTCCAATCTCCATAACTTTTGCAGTCGGTTACACTTGATAAATGTGGTTTCTGTTTGTGTACCTAGCAACCTGGCTTTAGAAAGGGTTACGAAACTGCCAAAACTGGCTCCTCGGCAAGCCTATTCTATAGCATTTGTATAATGCGCAAAAAGGCAGAAAAGTAACGTAGCAATTTAAAACAGAGTTTCAAATGTATGTGTATTTTAGAACCACCCAAGGGTAGGTGCGCCACATTAGGAGGAAGACCGGATATTTTCGGTAATCAAAGTTATGCATTGCCACTGGCTTAGTCAGCTCCAGACTGATGACATGGTTCGTGTACGTTGGCTTCTTCTTAGCGCGGAAACAAGGAGGAATATTTCTAGTTTTATCTCCTGTCACGGGGAATGTGTATAAGCTTACACAAAGGCGAAATGCATTAGCACCGAACACGGCCTCCACTCCACCATAGATAAACTGTATTAAAGGCCACATTTACGCAAGGACAATCGCATTTACAGAGTATTAGTTTTCCATTTTGTGCCATTAAATTTTTGTCAGCACAAACTCACACTTAAAAGTTATTATTTGACTGACTTGGGTTGAGGAATTAATTAAAGTGAGTGATGGGAATGACTGACAGCGTCTTTCCTTCATACACAATGTTTGCAGCCTGCAAGTCAAATTTCATGCTCCACTTTTTCCTTAAATTGGCCTATTTTTAGAACTAGATACTAAATAGACGCTTATTGAGCTGCCCCACTTATTCCAAATCTCCGTGTGAATAAAGTAGACATGTCTTCTTCACTTAGATGAACTTAGAATGTCAAAAAGGATGATCAGTGGCAGGAAAGAGGGTAAAGGTGGTGACCAATGCTCATGACAATGGTGTTATGGGCACGTAGTTGTCTATTTTTTCACTTGGGTCGTTAAGGTAGAGATCAGTTTGTTTAATACAACCGAAGCAATTAGGTGTACAGATTGAAAAGAAAATAGCCTGCATACCTTTTTGATACCGCATTTATTGCTCCAAAGCTGAACGGCCGACCACGAGGCCTCCTACGTAGTGTAGTAAAGTTTTTACGAAAGAGATGCATTGTGCTATCCTAAGATGAGAATACGCAATCATTGTTTATTCCACAATTTTGCCAACCACACCTACTATGTAATCACCTAACTTGACCGAACCGCTTGAGTAAGGTAGACTGATCATAAGCAAACTATGTTTATGCAATGAGAGCTGGACAGTATCATGACAATTTCCACTTATGCTCAAATACTCCAGATTTCACATTCATTATACATCATAGTCAGTCATTCAGTGGGGCAAGTTGATAAGTTATATTGTTGCTTAATTTGTTGCGGGAAAAATGAATTTATATGCAAGGTTTTGATATCTCAGGCATGAGAAATAAGAAGTCACTAATGAATCAAGATGGACAAAATTGAAATACTTAGGCTTCATTTTACCTTATTGAAACAAATTCATTTCGAGCCGGTTGAACTCAACTTTAAATGATGAAAAGGAGCAAAATGTGGAAAGACATTTATTTGTACTTTAGGATTTATTCACTAGAAAAGGTCACATTACTGTTAACTGAGCACAAACAAATTGCAACTGGCACCATCCCGCTTCATGAGAGCCTGAAGGGAAAAGGATTGGCTGGATGGACGCAAATTATGGAACGTGATTTTGCGCATGGCTAAAATAGTTACACATTTGCACCGACTTACGA